TTAAGCTTTAAGTAGCGCTTAATAAATATATTAAGCTAGTTTATGCTAATATAGCCTATATTATGCTTAGCGTGTAAAGAATTAGCTATATTAGCTATAGCTACTAGCTAGAGAGGAAATTCTTATGCATTTAGCTTAAGTATGTGCTAAATAATTACTTACTTTTTATTATTATCTAGCTTTTATAAGTTAGCTATATAATTAGCTTAGAAAAGTTATTTAGCATGTTAGTTACTTATTATTTTTTAAAAAACTTTATAAATAGCTGCAGCATGTTGCTTAAAAAGTGTTATATTTTATTTAAAAGCCTAAAGCATAAGCTACATTTAATGTTTTTTTAACATATTTAAGTAGTATTATTAGAAATGCATTAGTATAAGAGTAGTATAGTAGGGTCTTAGCAAAAGTAAGCAACTTAGGTGTGTAAGCAACTTGCCTGTAAAGTACGTTATTTAATAATCTTTTTTACTTTATATTTCTTCTTTAACTCTGTCTTTAAATTTTTTATTTTTAAAAGAATGCTATATAGAGCTTTTGTTGAATGGGCTCCGACAGCTAGCTGCTTATAGTATGAGCACTTAAGTAGCAAGAGTAAGAGTAGTGTACAGTGTGCACAGCGTATAAAGTAGGTAAGGTAAGAGTAATATGTTTCTAGTTCTATTACTCTTATCTTTTCTCTATACAGAGGAAAAAGGGGATATCTAGATGTTTGCGCACAGAGGTTTGCGCACAAGCATTATGTAACATAGATACGTGATCCTGCTTATGCGCGATTGTTTGTATCTAGGCCGCGACGCTGCTACTGTGTACAGACACTAGCAACTTTTCTTTTTGTCTAAAGAGTTGCCTTCTATACACGTTACCTCCCTTCTGTCTGTGTAGGTCTATCTAATTACATTCTGCCTTTACTCTACCCTATTTGTTAGGACTTGCCTTAGTAATGCTGTGCGTTAAGATAAGCTAGTTATGCTATGTAAATAGCTCTTCTCTTCTTTATCCTTTACTTTCTAAGCCCTACTGTACAATCCCCTAGCTCTTTTCTCTTTTTGTACAGTGCTAACAGTAACAGATCCTTATAATAAGAAAGATAAGTGTGTATAATAAAAAAAAAAAAAACAAAGAGAAATAAGCCTTATATAAAGGCGTTGTTAGTCTAGTTAGTCTAAGGCATTTTTGCGCATAAGATCTAGCTAGTCCACAGATGCTTTTATCTAGACAAAGAGGCAGTTAGTTAGGACTAATAATTAAAAAGCCTAGTTTAGTGTTTTCTTTATATATGCATTTACTAGGTTGTTTTTACTATTAATCTACCTAATTTTAGTAATTTCCCTTTTCTTATATAATTTGCAGAGTAACATAATGTTAATTATAAGTTACTTTTTACTAGTAGTGCCTAGCTTAACAAGGCAATTATATAAAGACCTTAAATCTGTGTAAATTACTACTAAAATTAGTAGCAGTTTAAGTGTTTATATAATTTACTATAAAGTTATATTAAAAGTAATTATATTGTTAAACCCTCTAACTATTCTGTATAGTTTACTAGTAAGAACACTTCTAGTTACTCTTTTACACTTAGTAGAATTCTAGTGTATAATGTTGCCTAGTATTTTAAAGTAGTTGCTTTGCTCTATATAGTCTTTATTACTTAATATAATTAAGAATTCTAGCTGTAAGCTAAAGTTTTTATTATTAGCAAATAATTTATCTATAAAGATAAACAGCTTTACATAATTAAGCTGTAATAGTAGGAAGGTAAGACTATGCTTACTATTATCTATCTGCTATTAGATTTGTGCGTTAAGTGTGTTAATGTTATTATGCAAAGGGTCTGTAGTTTATGCAGTAATAAAGAGGTTAAATGCTGCCTTTAGTTAACACATAAATGCAATGTATACCTCTCTTATACATTGCTTAACATATTATTGTGCAGCATTCTTGTTCTTTAAGTTAATTATATAAAGGTAGCTTACTTATCTTTTCTAAGTAACAACTACTATGTTGTGCGTAAGTTTAATCTTTTTACTATTAAACTTAATAAGTTGCTTCTCTGCTAAGATAGTCTTACTTTTTACATAGAACTTTACTTTTTACAGTTTTTTTTTTTCTCTTTGCGTAAAATTCTTTATTATAATGCTTAAGGTGTTATACAAATGCTTCTAGTTATTTCTAGAGCCTATGTTGTGCATATAGTGCATATTTACCTAACCTTCTAGGATATTTAGAAAGATGTCTGTGTACTAAGTTTCCTAGATATTTAGCTGTTAACATAAATTAATAAAAATCTTTATTTTATTTATAAAGATATTATATAGTTAACCTATGTAGTTATTATTTTTTTTTTATGCCTTTTAGAATTATATAATCTTATCTGCTAGGAGTTTTTCTTTAGCAGTTTCCCTCTAGGGTGGAAGTTTGTACAGGCTGTAATGTGGTATGGATTGTGCAGGTGGTATTAGTGGTGCATACACTACTGCAGGCGGTGGTGTGTACAATTAAGGGTGTGGAGCAGGCGTTAGGTAGGGTGGCATGTATTATTTATACAGTAATTAGTGTAGTGCTAGCTAAGGTGTAGGAGCAGGTAATGCTAGTACATTTAGTGTTAATAGCAGCATTATGTTTAGTCTGCTTCTATGTAGAGCCTTATATAGTAATAGAAGTTATGTATAAATCTTTTTTAGTATAATTACTTTTTTTTATGCTATATTATACAGCTTTTAGGCTTAAGTACCTTTAGTGCCTAGCTATAGTGTAATTCTTTTATTCTTTAGTACTTATATAAGCTTCTTTTTAAACGCGCAGCTAAGTGCTAAGAAGTCTTATAGTGTCTATTCTTTAAAATCCTTTATATATATACTTAGAAAGGTAGCGCTTTTCTAAGTTATTATGCATAGATTAGTAATTATATAACTTATATATAATTAAGTTTATAGGCTTATTAAAGCCTCTAATATATTAATCTTGTTATTCTAGTACTCTAGGCTAGTCTTATTCTGTAGTGTTGCCTCTAATATCCCTGTGTCTTTTATAAGTTGTTTATATAATAAAAATTATTCCTTATTCTTCCTATTATTACACAGAGTTGTTAGTTGCTAATAGGATTTTATTATAATAGTATAGTTAATTACTTTTTTAGTAAATTACGCAGGTACTGCTGTTGTCTAGCTGCTAGGTTGTGCAGCTTTAATAGCTTTAGTATGCGCCTTATACTATTTCCTTTTTACTTTGTACAGTAGCAGAGCTTGCTGTATAATGCAAAGAATTAATGTGCTATTATCTAGCTGCTAGGTTATGCAGCTTTAGTAGCTTTAGTGTGCATTTTACACTATCTTCTCTTTGCTTTGTACAGTAGCAGGGCTTACTATATAATGCAAAGGATTAATCTGCTATTCTAAAAGATAGGTAACAAAACAAAGTACCTTATAAAGTATAAGTACTCTACTATTACTTTTCCTAAAGGATAAGTAACAAAATAAAGTACCTTATAAAGTGTAAGTACTTTATTATTACTTTTACTAATTTACAGTTAATTAAATTAACTACTAATTAGTGTTAAATAGGCTCTAACAGCTAGCTGCTTATAGTATAAACACTTAAGTAGTAAAAGTAAGAGTGGTGTACAGTGTGCACAGCGTACAAGGTAGGTAAGGTAAGGGCAACATGTTTCTAGTTCTATTACTCTTGTCTTTCCTCTGTACAGAGGAAAAGGGGGATATCTAGATGTTCGCGCACGGAGGTTCGCGCACGAGCATCATGTGACATAGATACGTGATCCTGCTCGTGCGCGATCGTTCGTATCCAGGCCGCGACGCTGCTGCTGCGTACGGACAGCTTTTCTAATAAAGAGATATAAAGAACGCCATGCAGTAACAGATGGCGAATGCTATCATAGTGTAAAGCAGGACTCGAAAGCGCTTGTGTATACTAAAGACGTTTTTGTAAAGCGTTAGAATGGAAAGTTTGGAAAACATGATACCCCAGAAGTATATCATGTCACCGATGAAAAGTCCATGCTTCCCATCAACTCGGTCCTTGAATCCGTTCTCGAGTATCGTACATTCTTACTTCCGTTGCCGATGTTGATCAGTTCTGAAGGTGGGATGTCCCACGTGTGTCTTCCTACCATGTACTTTTTTACGACTGCATCTCTTCAGTAACCTATCATATATGAAGCAATGGGCTCACTTACTGATCACATTGAAGACCACTCTTGCAATTGCACAGGGCAACGCAAACAATATCAAGGCTAGAGGTACAGGTGTTGAACATACAACGTGTAACATGTCATGCTCTACGAGATTAACTCACTATCGTCCAAGCTCCATTTCTCGAGAACTTCCAGTTTGATCAAAACGCGAGATGCGACGAAAATAGTTGCCAGCGCGCCCAGAAGAGGACAGAAAAGGACAATTTTGCCTCCGGTAGAGTCAGGATTAATGAAGTTGGGAGTCACACCATGCGGCGCCATGGTGGGCGGAGCATTCTGTCTTGGGGAGAGATGCATTGTGCAGATGTCTTGTAAGTCTTCAACGAGGGATAGAACGACGGAAGTGATGCACGATTGTGTGGTGTTCAATTCCGTTCGGGACTTTTTCGAGTGCCTTTTGACAGGAAACTATGGTGACATCGGATCGAGGCGTGTTCTGCTGTGCCGCTCCGAGCGTTCATGGATTGTCCCAGCCGGACGCCATCATTTCCCTGCATATAAAAACGGATAGATTCTGCATGCAGACTTCGAAGTCCGAAAAAATACAAGGATACTATGCTGCACTTTTTCGTAACCCTGCTTCAGGGGCACAGCACTGCTGCAAGTCCCGCCGCACTGGAGCACTTCAAACGACAAAAGTTTACCGGATAAAGCGATTGGTAGTACAGCGGAGCGAAACGGTAAGCATTGTGCTCTGGCCTTCGACTTCTAGCTACTTTCACGCACCTCCAGATCTACGGAATCATCGTTTGACCTCAATTGCACTCAGCCTTTGCCTTGATAAGCTACAACGATGCGTCCTATCACTCTGTATTCAGCTCGTAAGTGTTCCCCACAACGTTGAGATAGTGAGGAGGTTCGCTAATTAAAGCAGCGGGTGGGCCAAATCCTTTCAAGGTACACTTCATGTGCTTCGTTGCATACTTCATGGCCTGCTCTAATTCCTAGAAAGGTAGTCATCATCTGCGAGGAGCTGGGAATCCCCTATGATTTGAAAGTCGTCGGCTACGGGGCTCTCAAGGAAAAACCGTTTACAGACTTGAATCCTAATGGTCGTTGCCCGGGTAAGTGCCTTTGACTTTCCAGAGTTTGCGAAAATGCTTATTCATGGAATTAGCCATCGAGGACCCCAACACGGGAATTGTGCTCTGGGAGTCTGGTGCCATCATTACGTACTTAGTCGAGCAGTATGATACCGAGAAGAAGCTTCACTATGATAGCTTCCCAGAGAAGCATTTCCTAAACCAGTGGATGTGTTTCCAGATATCTGGACAGGGTCCCTATTTCGGGCAGGCGGCATGGTAAGCTCCCCACACTACAACAGATTACGTCATTTGCCTTCTAAGCAGTACTGGGAAGGTTTAACCTCTTCCATCCGGAGAAGTTGCCATCGGCACAACAGCGATACATGGATGAGGTGCATCGTGTGGTTGGAGTCTTGGATGGGGCTCTGGCCTCGGGCCCCTCGGGATGGCTGGTAGGGGAGAAGTGCACCTATGCTGATCTTATTTTTGTCATGTGGCACGAGCAGATAGCCAGAATCTTCGCGGCATTCCAAGACAAATGGGACATTGAGAAGTATCCCGAATACAAAAGGTGGATTGAAAGCATGAAAAACAGGCAGTCTATTAAGAAAGCGGTGGAAATGCAGCAGAAGATCCTTGCGGATGCAACTAAGTGATCTTAGGCTTCCGAGTCTACCTCGATGCTTCCCTGAATCAGTCGTAGCAAATTGCTAGCAATTAATACTTTTTATGCGGGGATGAGAGATTGGGTTATTCTGTGTAATATCGTGAAGGTATCAGAAGTCTTTGCTGGAAGGCAGTTTCTTTGGAAAATAACTGATCAAAGAATGCGACTACCGTACACTCGCGTTCTGCATGTGAGCAGATTCGGGCTATAGGAGACTTCGGATTGTTTGTGAATGGATTCAATTAATTCATCCAATCACCAGTTCCTCTTAACAAACCTTACCACCAGTGGGTCCTTCAACTTCAACCCTAGCTCGAATCCTACGCCAGAGGACAGTTGTTGTTCCGCTTTCCTGAGGGCTTCTGGACTTGTCCCACCCTCAAACTCGACTCGGTACTGGCTGAATATTCTCGCAATGGCGGCACAGAATTCAATACTGGCAAATCTTGAACCCATACAGGAGCGAAATCCCTCTGCAAAGGGAATGTACGAGCCAGGCTTGAAGTTGCTCTCAGTCTCGCCGCCAACCTCGCCAAAGCGTTGTAACCAGCGTTCTGGGTTGAAGGACGAAAGTGGATGAGGAGGCTCGCTTTTGCTATGTTCCCTCGCAGTGGGCCAGTACTTCGGATTGCGATGTGTGGCGCTCGTGTTGACCATGATTAGAGTTTTAGGATGTATTGCAACTGACTCCCCTTGAACGCTTAAAGTCTGAAAATGTTCATTCGTTTTCGGGAAGAATGGAAGTACGGTATAAAGTCTTAGCGTCTCCTTCATTAATGCACCTACATGGCCATTGATCAGTTTTGGGTAATGATGGGAGTAAGACCATGTGGTTGGATCGCCCTCTCCAAGAATTGAGTCGAGGTCTGCATGTAATGCCGCTTGGAATCGAGGCCGGTAAGCCAGTAGAGCGATAGCAAATGTCATGGTATTAGCGCTCGTTTCGTGTCCCGCGAGAATGAAGATGAAGAGGTTCCCCAGCACCGCATCATGGGTGATATTTAGGGCCGTGTCCTCTACGAAAGTGGCTTTGACAAAATTCTGGAGTAGGTTTCCGCCCTCACTATGTGGGGTTGTTCCAACATTTGTGGAGGTTGCGATCACCATTTCATCCATGTATTTGCGAAATTCGACAAAAGCTTGGATGGCTTTCTTGTGCTTCGAGGACGGGGAGTGCTCTGTATCGTTTTAGCTTTGTGAATCAGCCAGGTGGAGGGAGTTAACATACCAAGTAATCGCCGAGGCATCATGAATAGAGTCTGAGCGTATTTGAACACGGAGCTGACCGCGTCCGCATAGGGAAGGGTGTGGCCGGATGGCAGTTGATGATCCTCATCCCATGTCATCTGCTTCTGGAAGAAGGCTTTGCTGAGGACATGAAGCGCAAATAAGCTAGCGTAAGAGTTCAGGTCCTTCACACTTCCGCTGTTTTCACTCCATACTTGAAGCATCATTTCGCCCTGCTTGAGTGACTCTTCCCACACCGTGCGATGTGTCTCTTCGTTGAACGAAGGAGCGGCGATCCTCCGGTAGGTGCGATGCTCTTCTCCTTCTGAGGCTGTAATGGTTGGTCCATAGATATTCAACATGCCTAACATGCCGATTGGCTTTACAAAATCCTTGTGACGGCTGCTTACTTGCATGATAACATCGGGATCGCAAGTCCACAACACGTTCCCACCAGAAGAAGCAACGATGAAGGTATCGTTATCTGCAGCCTCGAAGGGTTTATACCCATAGTGCCATATTCGAAAGAAGAGGGAAAGGCTAGGAAATAATTAGTTGCAAATTCGATTTTCGAATGCTTGGTTATACGGAAGCCATGAGTCTGTCCACGAAGTGGGAAGCTTGAGGAGAACTGGCAGTAAGGCTTCTTGAAGCAGAATCCACGGCACAGACTGGAAGTAGAATCTGAAGGTTGTCAGCTATTCATGATGGGAATACTTGTCCGCGGGGGAATGGACTTACGGAGAGATGTAAAATTTTAGACCGGACTCTCGGGCCTGGGAAATGTGATGCTGAAGCGATCTGTAGAACGATAAGGAGCGGTAGATAACTAAAAGAGAAAATAAAACGAGGACGATTGATGTCAGCATTGGAGCGTGCAGGGTGCTGAAATCGCGAGCCTAGGGTGAAGGATATCTAAGGGGAATCGATCAGTGGTGGAATGTGTGTCAAGAGGAGATATCGCGTTTTCTGGTTCCTTTCCAGCCGACACTACCAGTTACCTGATAGGTTGGTGAAGGACGTGTATTGGACAGTCTGCTGTGGTCTTCCGTTGGTGCCTTTGCGGCAAAGCAACGCTGGAGTCTAAATGCGCCGGTTGTATCTCGACCCCTGGAAACCGCTGCGGCCCGCTTCGGGTCTGGTGGACCGAGCTTGCCCCCAAGCGCGCAAGGCCGCGGGGGTTCGTTTGCTAGTGAAGGATACCCCTGTTGGTGAAGCATCACCCCTGGAGGAAGCTACTGTGTATGTCGTCATATCCCCGTTGAAGTACGACGTTTTCGACCTGCATCAAAGGTGAGTCGTTTTCTATGAACACCTTTTTTGGCACATCGCCGTGGGTTCAACGTATGTTTCCTAGGTACGGAGATATTGTCCGAGTGGCGCCCGACGAAGTGTCTTTTGCTACTGAAGAAGCGTGGGATGATATATATTGCCACAGGGCTTCCAACGGGCCGTACTACGGTCCGTACAAAGTGAACCGTAACGGTCACGTGTTCAGTACGAACGTACCGAGTTTGTGAGCTGTACTGTACGTTTAATGATGCCCTAGGTACGGTACGTAGCACAGATTGTATTACCCTTTTAGGAAGTTTGTATAGGGGTTCTAGAGGGGTAGGAGGGCTCTAGCGAGCAGGAGGCCTGCAGACGCTTAAATCTCTTTCTAAGGGTTTTAATCTATCTATTAGCCTGTTGTCTTAAAAATGCCTATTACAGACCATTTTCTATTGCAGAGTTATCTATCTACGCCTCTTGCCGCCTTACAGGCCTCATCTAGTCCTATCTGCTCTTGCTACTAGGGAGAACTAGTTATTTTATAGTTAATTAGACCTTAATCTTGCGTCTCTAGAGACCTATAGTCTTAGCTGTTTTAACTAGAGTACAGCGTACTTTAATTAAATTGTACTACTTGTACAGATCACGTGAGCTGTAACAGTTATGATACGTACACCTACCTCTCCTCCTCCCTGTCGTACGAACGTACACAAAATCTCACCCGTACAGGCCTCAAAATCGCCCAATCGTACAGTACTACGCCTCGTTGGAAGCCCTGTATTGCCATCGGCCAGGCCATAGTCCCTTCCTGAAGAATCCGATTTGGTGGGGCGAAGTACCAGGCTGTGCAGAGACCATCGTCGACGCGTCGACGACGAGGAACCATGAGAGAATGGGGAAAATTATCGGGAACTGCTTTACAAACAAAGCCCTTGCAGAGGAAGAGCCGTCCGTTCAATAACATGCCTCCAAATTGATTGAAAAGCTCCATGAGAAAGTAGCGGAATCCGGATCGAGAAGCGCAATTATCAATATTGTCGACTGGTACATGTTCACGACTTTTGATATAATTGGAGATCTGAGTTTTGGATTCCAAAGACTTTGGTTGTCTCGAGAATAGTACGTACCATCCTTGGGTACTGGAGATATTCAGTTACTTCAAGCTAGGAGCACTATTTAGCACCCTCCAATTCTACAACACGTTTGCGCAGCTCATTATAAGGGTTTTGCCAGCCAAGATGGTCGAAGCCCAGGAGAAAAACTATCATTGGGCATGTCAGAAAGTGCATCATCGCCTTAATCTCGAGGTTCAACGTCGAGATTTCATGAGCAGACTACTTCCTCATTTCTCGCCAGACGCAGATGTGAGAGATCGACGCTGAAAATTAAGCTTTGCAGAGCTCGAGAACAATTTCTATGTGCTCACTGTGGCGGGAAGCGAGACTTGTGGTACTGTACTATCTGGAACGACGAACTACCTAATCAAGACTCCTGCTTTACGTAAGCTTACAGAGGAGGTTAGGAGAGCTTTCCCTAGGCCAGAAATGCTCACTTTTGATGCTCTAAGCACGCTTCCATATCTTAATGCCGTTATTAAAGAAGGTTTACGTCTGAGCCCCCCGGTTGGAGGAGCACTTGCTCACGTCGTTCCTAAGGGTAGTGACACCGTGTGTGGAGTTTGGCTCCCGGGTGGCGTATGTTATACTACTGCCCTAAATTCCGGCTACTTAAGCTCCCCAAATGCTAATCAGTCACTAGACTAATGTTGGCGTTCATCAATGGTCCCTTTACCGTTCCGCTACTAAATTCCATAAAGCGACTATCCTTGTTCCTGAGCGCTGGCTAACACCAGCTCTCGGTGACCCAAAGTCTCCTTATCACGCAGATCATCGACATGCAGTTCAAGCATTTTCAACGGGCTCATGGGCGTGTATTGGTAAGGAACTTGGATTGGCAGAGCTTAGGCTAATCTTAGCACGCATGGTGTGGAACTTCAATTTAGAAATCCCGCTCAAGGGTAAAAATGTCGTGTGGGAGAAGCAGAAGCAATATGTTCTAGTTCAAAAGGAGGGATTCGATGTGCAACTTGTCCCAAGAGCGGATCTGCATTTATAAAGCGTCACGGATACGGCGCAGGGGAACCCCAGTCGACGTTAATCTGTTCTTTATAGTTCTTAGAATATTATAGTATGCCTAACGTCTGGTACCCGGTGCTAGGGGTCCGATATTGGACCGAAAGCAGATACAAAACTGAAGTTTATTTCGTCCGCAGCCGCCTTTCCGGCGCTGCCGAACGCTCTTCCCCACGTCGTGCTGTTTTTGATGACAACCTGATTTCTACTAAGACTTCATAGGCAAAGATGATTTCGAGTTACCTATTAAGCCACTCAATGTTGTTCTACTCACCGCGCAAGCACGATATTGTCTAGATGATTCTATAGGTCGAGAGGTAGGTATCAGTACGCATCTGCTTAATTCTTTTACCAATTTAAGCGATTATTCTCTTGGAAGCGCTACTCTGTCGTGTCGGACCCTCTCTCTATTGATATATCTTTGGCCTTGGTGCGTGACTGAAAAGTTTATCAGCGTCCGCTCGAGACTATTATAATCCTGGATGCGAGCATTTTAGCTACGGATCCTTCTCGACTCCACTGCACATAGTGTAGCTTTTTAAGTTAGAGAAAATAATTGAGTTGAGTGATGATTGATAAATAGAAGAAGGTATAACTTTTCAGCCCGAGCGCGACCGACTGCTTCCTAGAAATTATGAACAAGGGTGGGGCACCAGAGTTGTGAGTAGTCGGTATTTCCATGGATGAGCAGAATGTATTAGGCCTTAAAATTGATCATCAGCGATATATTGTTGTAGAGCATCACTGCGAATTCTCTTGCGCGATTGAAATCGCACGGTAAAATTGTCTAGGGATAAGAAGTAGCCCATTCTCAGAAGGCCCTAATTAGGGCTGCTGGACGTTGCATGAAGATGGTTGTAAAGGTTAAGATGGCATTACAGGCATAGCGCATTTTAACCTAATCTAAGATTACTTGTAATATAGGACCCACTAAAGCTTATCTAGTTAGATAGATTAATAGATACTGTCTGTTAGCTAAGGCTAGAGCTTTTATATCTAAAAATACTATTATGCTAGTAGGCTATTAATTAGGGTTGTTATTAATAACCTTTAGCACTAGAAATTATTTTTTAAACTACTTTATTCAACTTATAACTAATAAAAAATTTTATAATGTTATTAAATTTTAACTTAATACACTTTTTATTACATTTGCTAAAAGGTTAACCTTCTAGCTAGCACAGCAGAAGGATATATATAGGCGGATAGTTGTACGCGATACTTTTTATACTAAAATATTTTTAAATTAGTTAGCTTAAACAAACCTATACGTAATTCTAAGCTATAAATATTATAATAGTGTTAACGTACTCTACAGGCAAGTTGCTTACACACCTAAGTTGCTTACTTTTGCTAAGACCTTACTAAACTACTCTTCTACACTAGTGCATTCCTAACAACACTACTTAGCCGCGCTAAAGAACATTAGATACAGCTTACACTCTAGGCTTTTAAATAAGACGTAACACTTTTAAAGCAACATGCTGCAGCTATGTATAGGGTTTTTTAAAAGATAATAAATAACTAATGTGCTAAATAACCTTTACAAGCTAATTTTATAGCTAAATTATAAAGGCTAGGCAATAATAAGAAGCAGGTGTTATAATTTACATGCTTAAGCTACAAGCAAGAGGTGGTGTAACCTAACTAGATTAAACTAAGGAGCAGAGGAGGTGCTCTGCAAGTTTAAGATATACATATGTGCCCCTTGCTAAGGCGCTACTTGTTGCGCAAGCAAGGGAGCTAAGCTGCAGAGCATGTAACGCAGTACACGCTGTTACAGCAGGTAATTATTAAGCATATACTTAAGCTATATGCGCAAGGATTTTCCTCTTAGCTAGTAGCTGTAGCTAATATAGCCAATTCTTTGCACACTAAGCATAATCTAGGCTATAGAAGCATAAACTAGCCTAGTATGTTTATAAAGTGTTATCTAGAGCTTAAAGTAAAGTTTAAGTATAAGTATAGCTATAAAAAAGCCTTTTATAAGAATTTTAAAGTAATTTAGAGCTAGTTTAGCCTTATAGAGAATGTTAAAGCTAAGTATAGCATTTAGAATAATAACACGTACTACTTTAATAAGATAGGCTTATAATAAGCTAGGTATCTACTAACTATACTTATGCTTTAAACTTTACTTTAAGCTTTAGATAACACTTTATAAACATACTAGGCTAGCTTATGCTAATATAGCCTAGATTATGCTTAGCGTGTAAAGAATTAGCTATATTAGCTATAGCTGCTAGCTAAGGGGAAAATTCTTATGTATATAGCTTAAATATGTGCTTAATAATTAACGTACCTAACAGGTTGGCCGGCCACACAGGTTGGCCGGCCACTTTTGCTAAGCCCCTACTAAAACCACCCTATTCTCTTGCAAAACAGCCTACTTTAGCCCTATATAAAGTAATACAACATAAGATATTATTTAGAGTCTACTTCTACTACTTACTTATATGTACATAAGTTATACCTAGTCTAATTACACTACCTGTATTACCTTTAACTTAGCTTACTTTCTTTAGCACGCACCTGCGTCTTTAGCTTCTTCCTATTACTACGCGCTCTAAACTTCTTTAGAGTAGTTAGACAAGCCCTATTCTTAACTATTAAGGTTTTTTTTACTTAAATTTACTTTTTTTTATATAATTTATGTTGCATAGCAGCTTTATTTACTGCTGTAAGATTGAAGCACTGTTTCTAGGCTTCCTAAGATGAATGATGGGTTTGGATATAATGTATGGGATGATTGATTGATTGTGTTGATCTATCGATCCTTTTTCTGCTCTACTTGTGTTGCTCGGCTTTTGTTTTTCCGATCCGAGTCTACAGCGGACTGTTAGCTGGTAAAGGGAAAAAACTAATTGCTAATTTAAAAATTCTTTACCCTGCACATAATTATAGCCTTTAGCTACTTATAACTTTATAATTATTTTATACACGTTTATACATGTTAATTTTATAATGCCTAGTAAGCGTCTTCTAAATAGTTACATTATATAAGTGCTTACTAATATAGTGGCAATGTAGGAGGACGTTCTAAGATTAACCTTAAACTGTACTAACTTTATCTACTTAAGCTTTTTTATAAAAGTGTTATATATATATAAATAGCTACTTACTTTTTTAAAAAGTTTTAAGTCTATGTTACTTCTTATATAATTAAGTAGCAGTTTTAAATATAAAATGTAAAGTAACACTTTTTTACTAAAGTTAAAAATAAAGTTAAAAATTAAATCTAAGTGCTATTTTTTAAAGTTAAGCTTAAAAATTTAGATATATTTTATATACTACATAATAAAAGCTTTTAAATTAGAAAATATACACTTATATAACTTTAATTTAAGCTTAGATTATATAAAAAAGTATAAAGTGTTAAATAAAGCTAGTAAGTAAATAAGCTTATATAATAACTTATTAGTTAAAAGCTAAAAAAAGGTGTTATTAATAAGTATAAGTAAAAGTATTTTTATACACACTTTTATTAATATAGCTATATTATTATATAGAACTAGTTATTTTACATTTATTATATAATAAACTATAAGGTAGTAGAGCGCTGTAAGCGCAACTTGCAGTAACACTATAAGAAGTATATTATTCCTAGCCTAAACTTTATCTAGTCTATTAATAGCTATAGTAAGCTAAAACTGTACAGTGTAGAGATCTATACATGTATTAATATATACTTATAATATATTATATAGATTTATGTTAGAATCTCTGCCTATACTACTATTAGCTGCCTTTGCTAGTTTTTTAAAACACTTAAAAAAATAAAGTAGTAACTATGTTTTATATAATTTAATTAAAAAATAAAGATAGTTATACTAGTAGATACTTATTACTAGCTTTAAAAGTTAATAAAGCTTAAGCTTTTATTTAATTAGTGCTACTTTTATAGCATAAGTATATTAAATTAGTAGATTAAAGCTTAGTAGTAGTAACTTTTAAAAAGCCTTTTTTTTATTAGTAAGTTAGTATTTTATATAATACTTATTACTTTATTTTACTTTAAGTAAAATTACTTTTACTACTTTTAAACTTAAAGCTTTTTTTAAAAAAATAGCTTAGCTAATTAGCTTACTATTTATACTATATATATTTTTATACTTTATAAAAAACTATATAGCTTTATATAACTATAAAACACATATTTAATTTAAAGGTAGAAAACCTATTTAAATAGTATAGTTAAAAAGCTTTTTATACTTTATTACTATTTTAAAGCTTATGTTTAGAACTAGGCTTTTTTATTTAATGCTAATTAGCTTTATATAATTAAGAAAAAAGTTAATAGTTAAAATATAAATGCCTACCTTTTACAAAATATGCTTTAGTAGTGTAATAAAGTACTAGATTTACTTAGATTTAACAGCATAGCTGCAGCTTACTTTAACTTTTAAGATTATATAACACTATATCTAAATGTTTATTTTTAGCTTTAAGTAAAAGCATAATACTATATTTAGAATAGTTTTTAGCCTATACTATTTCTACTTAAGTTACTTATTAAAGTGTAGAATTAGTAAGTAAGGTTTTATATAATATACTTAATATAAAAGTATTTAATTTAACTAAAGTAATTAAGACATAGTTTAAAATATTAATCTTAAAACTAACTTTAGTAAAAAATGCTTATTAATTTTAATCTAGCTTAGTAGATTTATATAGATATAGTAACTAAGCCTTTATTTTTTTATAGTATATTTAAATTTTTTATAGTTTTTTTTTAGTTTTTTTTTTATATAACATATAATTTATTATTACTATAAGTGCCTAAGATAAGTTTTATTCTACTATAAAATAGTTTTATAGTAAGTAGTCTACTAAATATAAGTTTTATCTAAACTATAGCATTTAAATTTAACCTCTTATACTTATATAAATTATATAAGACAAGAAAGAGATAATCTGTCTAAAAAATATACTTAAAAGTATAAAAAAAGAAATGTTTATTTTTTTTATATAAGCTACTTTATA